GACCAAACTTTATATACCATTGGCTCTTTATCAACTAAGAAACATGTCCTACTAAGAGGCCTATAGACTTTTCTGACCCCACCAGCAAAGTCCTTTGGAAACTTTGTTGGCGTCCCATGTTTTTAAATGCTTACCTCAAATTTCAACCCTCAAAAGGGCCTTTCAATTTATAATAGATACCAAGTATTTCTTCAGCTGTCAGAAGAATTTTTTTCATTTTGCAGATGAAGAGAGGAAATGGCAGACACTAAAGATCTGCCATTTCTGCTGTTGTTTCTCTTCAACCCTGAAAAAAGCTGTTCTTTATTTAGTTGTCATACCTCAAATCTAGTCACCCCTACTTCAAACCCGAAAAGGCCTTTTTCATTTTATTTTTCAGATGTTTTAACATATCCATACAGACATAGTCAAATACAATGTCAAAGAAAACACAGCCAGAATACAGACTTAACAATAACATAGTATGAAATATTTATGGAGAAATACACTTGAGCATTATAAGATAAATAGTTCCGTAACAACTACTCCCACCCCAAAAAATAGATGCATCAGAAGCCCAATCTACCTGGAGTCAGTTTGTAATGCTCTTATGAAAGACCATCTGTCTTCACAATTGGATCTTGACCTCTACAGATTGTCAGTATTTTTCCATGAGGGTTGTGTTGCTTATCTCAGTTAGCCAATCAAAGAATGTTGGGGTAATAACAGATTTCCATTTTTGTAAAATGGCTCTTTTGGCCACTATAAACACAGCAGCAATCCCTTTCCTGGCATTACTCCAACAGAGTAGATCTTCTAGAAAGCCCAAAACACAAAGGCTTGATGTAGGGGAAACTTCTACCCAATCACATTAGAGCATCACATGCTTCCTTCCAGAATGTGCATACTTTGACATTCAAAGGCTATCTGAGACAGGATTACATTGGAGGTGTCACATGTCCAACATTTACTATGTACATCAAGTCCAGCTTTATGCAATCACTTCAGGAGGCCAATGATAACGATTTAGAATTTCTTTCTGAAAGAAACACAAAAACAGGAAGTGGATGGTGTGTGAATACTGTGCCAGATATTAGCCCAGCTTTTGGAGGAAATTGAGCTGTTTAGTCCATTCTCCTATTTTTCTTTTATGGTATTAGTCAATAGGATAAATCAAGGAGTTGCGCTATTTACATGTGTTCACCAAAAACATTTTGGGGATCATATTTTTTAAGGAGCACTTTAAGTGGAATATTATTTGTGGGCTGCCAAATTTCCCCAGCTCCTTCAAAATGTAGAGTCAAATCTTATTGTAGAAAGGGCCTTGCTTTATTGGTAGCTGTTATTTATCATGAAAATATGTGAAGGAGGATAAAGTTGTCTGTTCCGGAATCTTTTATGGTTAATATGCTCTTGGTTAGCCAAGAGGATTTGAGTTTCAAGATATTAGGACATTTAAATTGGGGATTATTCCAGATTGGCATGGAAATTGGTAAGATTAGCAGTACTAATGGACTTGATTTTCTGAAAAACACTCCAAGAGGAGGCAAATGTGTTTTTCTTTAAAAATGCAGGCAGAAGTTTTAAAAATGGAAGTTCAAAGAGAAAGCCAAAAGGGGTTCACTATTTTTTTTCTTCAATGTCAAGCCATATTGCAATTTGGGAAGAGTTGATGATACAGAACCATTTTGTTAAAAATCTTAACTGAAAATCCAGGTGATATAAAAACAAATTAGGTCATTGCACCCGCCATCCCATTTGGCAATGATTCTTAAGTATTTTATCGGATAACTCTAGTGTCTTCATATTCCAGAAGAATTGTTGTACAACTCTCTTTATTCCTATGAAAGTTGAAGCAGGAAATTTAAGTGAAATTAAGATAAACATACACATTAATCTTGGTCCTACATTCAGTTTAATAGCTTCTACCTTCCCCTTAACTATATTGACAGTGAATGTCAGTTCTCCATGTCTTATGTCACTTCTCTGAGTATGACATCCATGTTTGCAGATACTATCTTTGATAAATCAGAACATACCCTGATATGTAGGTAAGTAGGTTATCTCTTTGCATGAATGAAAGGAGAATGACTGATTGATTGTATTTGACATGGATTTGGTCTATGAGAAATATCCATCACTTGTGACTTGTTGCTGTTTATCTGAAATCCTAATCTCTCACCAAAGTACTTTACTGCAGATAGTAGTTGTGGAAGTGAGGAAGAGGGATTTTTGAGAGTGAGCAGAATGTCCTCCACATCCTTCAACTCTTTATCCTGGATGGTAATGCCATCAATGGAGGATCTCTATCTGTTAGCGGTTCCATGACTATATCAAATAGTAGAAGCAATTGAGGGTATTCTTTACATGTTCCTTGATTTTAACTGAAAAATAGAGGAGATAACCCCTTTGTCAGAACAGAAGGAAAGAGTGGTTGTAAATAATATCAATCCAGGTCAAAAATGTAGGTCCAAATCCTAATTGTCTCAGGATTGCTTGTAGTTATGGCCCTTACATTCGATCAAAGGTCTTTTAAGTATCTAACAATAGGATAGTAGCTGGAGCATCAGTTGTTTCTGCCCAGCAGATTAAGTGGGATATCTTCTGAGTATTATCGGCTGCTAATCTGCCAGAAATAAAATCCACTGGGTCCACATGAATGAATGATGGCACAATGTTGTTTAAGCATGAAGTAAGGCCCTTGTCAAGATTTTATAATCTGTGTCAATTGCCACGAATGTTCTTGTCCTATTTTAGACTAGGTTAATTAATATCATCCTCATGTCCCGTGACACTATTTCTTTTGTAAAAATGTCATTATAGACTTCTAACAGTACTAACTGATTGATAAATGTCTTACACCATTCTGCTGGAAAGCTATCATGCCCAGGCACTTTGCCAGAGTTGAGTGAGCCAATTGCCTGCTTAACTTCTAGTCAAGAGAGATCTTCATCCATATAATTTACCTGAGGTACCGAGAATGTATTTAGGGTCAAATAGATTCTTTACCTCTACTAAGCATGCATTCAGTCTGAGTGGACATCCATTCATTGTATTTGTATTTTGCAGATGAGAGACTGCAGTAGCTCATTATTCTGAGTATCTTTATGGTGTTTTTTTTTAATTTAGTAACCACCTCTGCCAAAGAATTTATTCCTATTCTTCTTCATTTCAGATGTGAATTTTGTGCATTCTCCCCTTAAGATAGCCTTCAGTGCTTCCCATAAAATTGTAGTATAGGATACTATTTGTTTTTTCCTTCAAGAAGCTGATAATGAACGTTTCAATCACCTGAAGAAATTTAGGGTCCCTAAGTAGACATGTGTTTAACTTCTATCTTGAGGATCTTGTAGCACTATAACCAGTATCTGCATGAAAAGAAATTAGAGTATGATCAGAGATGATGATATTACCAACCTCTGCCTCCAGACGTGCAAGAGCTAGGACTTCAGCTATCATAAAAATATCTAATCTGGAGTAGGAGACATGAGTTAATGAGGATCTATAATTACACTTCATAGGATGCTTTAGTCTCCTAATGTCCACTAGTCCAATATCCTCCAGCAGGGGTAATGGATGGTTTTGCAAAGGCCTGAGATTTTTGCCTAGAACCTTGAGATTTGTCTATGATATCATCCATGACAGCATTACAATCTCCTCCTAAAACCACTGGACCATCAGCTCCATTGGAAATAATGTCAGTTATTTCTGCAATAAAGGGTGCATTCCCACCACTAGAATTACATACACTCCCCAAAATTAATCTTAGTGTTGAAAATGTCTTCTATTATTATGTATCTGCCCTCTGGATCTAAACATGATTGAATAAATTGAAAAGTTACACTCTTTTGTGCTTTGGTATCACTATTCCCTTGCTTCTGGAGTTGAAAGAGTGATATTCATGTCCCTTCCACAGTTTTTTAATTCTTCCGGCATCTTCATTCCTTACTTGGGTCTCCTGAAGAACAGCTATATGACATCTATCTGATTTTCAGTGCCTCAAAGTGCCTCTCCATGCAAAAAGAAAGAAAAACAAAACAAAACATACACTACCTAAATTACCCTTAATATCACAGATTTCTAGTATGGGCACATTCAGATCCCAGATGGCATACACCTGCGCCCACCTTCCCTCTCCACAAGCACAATATGAATTAATTAGGAATCTGCCAGAAATATACCTATATTTAACAAAATACCTATATGTGTCAAAGTATATAAATGAATGAAACCTGTTGTTTCATAGATATGAATGCATAAGAAATAATATGTAGTATATAAATGCTAATATTCACATGGTATATAAATATTTATACCCATAGACTAATGAAAAAAGTAAATATGAAGTGACATAAATGATGATGTGTGTGGAAAATAAATATGAATATATTACCATACATATTATAAATATATAAGATTTACATATGAATAGAAGCATAAAACCGCACAAGTATCCATATAAAGAGATATAGGTAGTCACAAATAACATGCAAGTAAATAGTTATGAATATATTAGCATCATAGAAGATTAGGGTTGGAGGAGACCTCAGGAGGTCATCTAGTCCAACACCCTGCTCAAGGCAGGACCAGCACCAAATAATGTATATATCATGTATATCTAAGAAACATCTAGACATACATATAGCCATATAAGTAGAAATAAACAGGTAAGAGTAATATAGTTATGAATATATAGATATACGCATATTGGCTTATCAATATACTGAAAGTATTAATTATCAAGCTATACTAAATATCTTGTCTAACAGTACTAATTACAGCCTATAAAACTATTAAATATCAAACATCAAATATGTACATGAGTTACCTGGTTTTCCCAATCATGAGTCCTTTTCTTCAGGGCTTATATTCTTCATTTTCTTTTCCTTTATGAGAGGATGATGGCTTACCCTTAGTGAGATTTGGTCTCAATTCCTGTAGTGCTTGCCAAGCATCTGATGGGGTATTGAAGTATTTCACAGAGTCTGTCAGTTTCATTATGAAGATCACAGGATATTTGAGGTTGTATTTAATATCTGATCCCCTGAGAATTCATTTGTTAGCATTAAATGCTGCTTTCTTCTTCCTTAAATTGGCAGAGAAATCGGGATACAAAGAAAATTTAAAATCCTTATACTTAAGAGTTCCTTTTTGCCTAGCAGCAGATACCAGCTTAACTTTGTCATTAAATTTTAGCAATTTAAACATGATGGGTCTGGGTTATTATTGTTCTCTCTCCTTCTGGCCCCTGCCACTCGACGAGCCCTTTTAATCTCCAGGGGAGGCAAACTGGGATCCAATCCCAGTACCTCAGAGTGTGTGTTGTGGAGAAAGCTACAATGGTTTTTTTTTCCTTCCAGCCCTTCAGGGACCCCCAGTAACTGCAAATTATTCCTGCATGATCTGTTTTCAAGATCTCCTTGTTTCTTCTCAAGCTTGGTTAGTCTTTCCCTGAAGGGAACATTCTCCATTTTAACCTTCTTCAATTCTATGGCAGTTTTTAATAGTTTGTTATCTAAGTAGGTTAAACAAACTTTGATTTTTCCCACATCTTTAGAGTCCATGTATATCTTGAGATAAAAGATTAAATTTGGTAGCTGAAGTTCTTCATAGCTGCAAAGTTCTGTGTGAAAGACTGCTGGGGTCCCTCAGCCTTACCTTTCTTTGGAGACTCAGTCTTTGGGTTGTCTGGTGTTCCTATTTTTCCCAGCAGGATCCATAATAGCACAACCAAAAGGACTCCCCTGATTTAATTAGTAAATTTCTGACAGAAACTTATCATTTAGATACCTGGGAGCCCCACATTGTTAAGAATTAGTTGGGGGTGGAAGGGGAAGGGAGAGGAGACGGGGTCAGGCATCTATCTTCTCTACAAGGTCACATTTCCCCCTTCTCCCTTTTACATTTTTTAATACATATAAAAGAATTAATTTATCATGACTGGTTTTCAGTATAAAAACTGCAATTAGATGCCTGGTAATTGGATATGCAGTAGAATTGCAATGAAATATCACCTTCCCCATGCTTAAAACTGAGAGGAAGAGAACCTTCAAATTTTGCTAGTGAGTGTTATACAGACTCTCATTTTTTTGTTTATACAAAATAGGCCTGTTTCTGCACTCCATTCTATGCCATTGATTTTAAACACACCTGTTTAAACAGAGTTACGCAGGCATAAAACTGCTGTGAGAGTATCAGAACCAACATTTCTAAAAGGCTTAACATAAAATGAAAGCCTAACAAAAATTGACCTTGATAAGCATGAACAATTACCACTGACATAGATGGAAACAGCATCCACCTTTCAGGTGCAGTAGATGGTTCTTAGTTTCAGACTCTGATCTAAGCAAGCCTATAGGGAAACTAATCCACCGGATCCAACAGAACATCAATCTCACTCTAATACGATGGGTTTTTTTTCTCTTAAGGGGGAGGTGAGGCAAGCCCAAAGCTGCTAGTGACATCAATGAGAGCGGGAACAATGCACCATAAATAGAACTTTTAAAGGTCAAATGCACAGATATTTTTATAAAAATCACTAAAACTCTCCTATGAGGTTCCAAAAGAGTAAATAAAGAAATAACCACTGTATTTTTTAAAAATAATATATTTTAACAGAAATTGTAAACAACTGCAGCCTACTTAATTTGATTTCCTTGAAAGTATCTTTGTAAGGTGCTTAGATATCCTGGTGAGGAGCATAATACAAGTACTTAGACAGGGGACACAATGTTCCTACAATCCATTCACGGGGATTTTGTTCACCATTAGGGCGGTAGTACAATCCTCCATCAGATTCTCTCCTTTTGAACTGTTATACAGGTGGTTGTCTCAAGGAATATTAGACATCCTGCCTGAGGATTGAGAAGAGCAGAATCCGAAGGCAATGAGAACAACTGGGTATGTAACATAGTTCCAGGAGCACCTCAAGAGGCTGGGAGTTTTTGCTTTTGAAAACCTGCCAGGGCAGCAGGTGAGAAAACAAACTTACAACAAGGGTGCATGTCTACGGATCTTCCAACCCCTGAGGACTGAGCTCTATTATTGCTTCCCAGCATGGAATCCATAATGCTAACCAGATGGCAAGCATTTTTTGAAGTGGTTTGTTAGGTTGGCTCTGTGGATTACAAAATCTGCTGCTAGGGAGGTGGGAAAAAACTGGATTTTACCATGTGAACTTGCTTAATTCTTGGAAAACCAGAGACGGGATGTTAACTCCAGAGCTGGAGCTGGGTCGTCAAGCCGCCCATTCATCAAGAGTCAGCACAAGTGCAGCAAACTCCTGTCTGAACAAAGAGGTCAGGTTTTAAATCTCATTGATGTCTTTCCAAATATATTCTCCTCTGCACCTGGCTGGATCCAGCTGATTATACCATCACATCATGAGTCCTGGGACAGCAGGTTAGAGAGACGCCTCATACTTGATCTCTGAAGATTTGGGAGATCATCCAGGATGAGTTGCAAGCTACACTGGATGTAGGGCTAGCTGAGGAGTCCCAAAGAGTTTGGCAAAGTCCCATCATTCTTGTCCCAAAACCTGATAATTCAATGCACTTTGGTATAGATTTCAGAAAAGTTTGATGCAGTCTCAAAGTTTGACACACATTTGATGCCATGAATGGATGAGCTATTAGAACATCTAAGGTCTACCAAATATAGCAGTACTATAGATCTTACAAAAAGATACCTGTATCACCTGCATTACAAGACAAAATGGCCTTCTTGAAGCCCTTAGGGCTCTTCCACTTCAGAACAATGCCTTTCAGCTTACTTGGAGCAGCCACAACTTTTCAACTGTTAATGGACATGGTGCTCAGGCTCATCAGTGGGATGATGCTGCATATCTGAATGCTATCATTATGAACCTTCAATAAGTCCTTGACTAAAGCAGGTTGCAAGGCCAAATGAAAATTGGTGAATAAAAAATTACGTATCTGGTTTATAACATGTAAGAAGACCAATTTAGGCCACTAGTTAGCATAGTGCAGGCATGTCCATATTAAACAGAAGCTACTATAGTTAGATATCTTTAAATCAGCAGGTCCAGATAAACTTGTATCCTAGAAGTTTAAAAGATCTAACTGAGGTGCTCCCTGGACGGTTAATGATTAATTTCAATAAGTCTTGGAGCACCATGAAAGTTCCAGAAAACTAATGCTGTGCCAATATTTTGACGGGGTGAACGGAATGACCTGGGTAATTATAGGCCTGTCAATCTGACTTAAATCTTGGGCAAGATAGTGGATCATTGGATACAAAACTGTAAATTAATATAGAATTAGAGGGTAATATAATTAATGTTCATCAACGTGGGTGTATGGAAAAATAGAATTGTCAAACTAACGATGATTTTTTAAAATGAGATTATAAATTTGGTTGATAAAAGTAATAGCGATGACGATGTAATATCCTGAAACTTCTGTAAAGCATTTAGCTTGATACTGCATGATATTTTGGATGCATACACAGGGGAATCTCTAGTAGCAGTAGTGAGGTTATTTTAACACTATATTTGACACTGGTATGATGGCTCCTGGAATACTGAGTGTAGTTTTGCTGTGCACAATTTAAGAAGGATGTTGATAAACTGTAGAGAGTTCAGAGAAGAGCCATGAGAATGATTAAAAAATTAGAAAACATGCCTCATAATGATAGACTCTAGGAGCTCAATCAATTTAGCTTAACAAAGAGAATATTAAG